GTAAAACACATGAAAGTGTGGGGAACCCCATAAGATTGAACCTTCTGAGGACTTTGATCCCTTGATCTACTTGGTCCACACTGAGAATCTAGCAATCTTTTGATTATAGTTTTAAAGTGTTGTTACTGATACTGACTTCAGGTGCAGGCTTCTATTCCTAGTCAGCTATAAGTCTCTATCCACTGGTCTGTCTCTCCATCTTATAGAACAGCAGTTTGCCTTGTGACCTCACTTCTCTGATGGATCTAAGAAGTGATTTTAAGTTTGTTCAGCATTTTTCTTATTGTGAGTATGGGAGTGATGGCTTCCGAGAACTTGATGTGTGAAACCAGAAATTGGAAGTATATACGTTTATTTTTTTAACTTCAAAGCACATCTAGAAAAACATGAATCTTTCTGAAGTTTCACCCTACCTGAAAATATGTAGAAGCTGTGTGACTTTGTGCAATTAATTTAGTCCATCTCTTCATCTATAAAATAAGCATAATAATGCCTACTTTGCTGGATTGTTATAAGATCTAAAGGAGATATGCTAAGCATCTAGCACAGTGCATGGCTCATATATATTCAATAAATGTTAACTTTAATTATAATGTCATTTTATCTTCATCAGAATCCTAGGCTTGAATAGAGACAAAGTGTACAAAGTATTCCCTAATTTAGATGTTAAAGAATCAGAAGAAAATGGAACACTTGCCTTATGATCAGTTTGTGATTGAGTCAAAACCAGACTCAGGCTAGGACTGCTCCCAGCTTCCATGGCCCTGATGCGGTTACAGAACTCCCGTTTTCTTAATATCAGAGCAAATAGCTTGCCCACATTAATCAAAACCTGTCAAATCTCAAATTTACTCCTATAAAAGCAATCTCAGCGACTGCATACCTGTCTGTCCCACTCTGATGTATTTGTGGATTTTGCTTGCAGAAACCATGATGGCTCCAAATAAAGGGTATTAGAATGATAGAGAAATGTAGCCTGCTACCATGGAAACAGACATGTGACACCAGTACTGCTCTGAGTAGGCATGTAAAAGGTTCTGAAGCATATAGAGAAAATAAGTCAACATATCTAAGAAGATATAGAAATGAGCAGAGGTTACTGCTTTTGCTCTAGGTCAAGGTATTCATATCTAACATGAAATAGTTCTAGCTCTCTGGTATTTTCTCTCTAGAAGATGGAAAACCACAATGACCTTGAGCAAAAGAAATGAGAATGGTTGATATAGAACCAGAACTTCGGGGGAGGGGAGGGAGGCTCAAGAGGGAGGTGATACATGTATAATTAGGCTGATTTTCATTGTTGTGTGGCAGAAACCAATACAACATTGTGAAGCAATTTTCCTCCAATTAAATATTTTTTTAAATTTTAAAAAATGAACCAGGACTTATAGGACCATGTTGAAACTCATAAGAATTATTTACTGGCTATGGTGAGCTATGTTAGAAAAAGATGGAACTCCTTCCTATATTGCTGAATGATGTACTCACTAGCACCTATGGAAAGAGTGATACAGTCTAAGGATAATCTTGTCTATACTTTTTCATCCTCACTTTTTTCAAGGGATATGCCAAATGTACACTGAGCAGACAGAAGCAAGTGGAAGATGGGCCTTGAGCGCCTGTAGCTCTCAGCCCTCTTCACACCATAGCCATTTCAGAAAATAAAAATAAAGATTTTATCCCATCACTTCATGGCAAATAGATGGGGAAACAGTGGCCAACTTTATTTTGAGGGGCTCCAAAATCACTGCAAATGGTGACTGCAGCTGTCACCATTAAATGAAATTAAAAGATGCTTACTCCTTGGAAGAAAAGTTATGACCAACCTAGATAGCATATTAAAAAGCAGAGACATTACTTTGTCAGGAAAGGTCCATCTAGTCAAGGCTATGGTTTTTCCAGTAATCATGTATGGATGTGAGAGTTGGCCTATAAAGAAAGCTGAGCGCTGAAGAATTGATGCTTTTGAACTGTGGTGTTAGAGAAGATTCTGGAGAGTCCCTTGGACTGCAAGGAGATCAAACCAGTCCATCCTCAAGGAAATCAGTCCTGAATATTCACTGTAAGGACTGATGTTGAAGCTGAAACTCCAATACTTTGGCCACCTGATGTGAAGAACTGACTCATTTGAAAAGACCCTGATGCTGGGAAAGATTGAAGGTGGGAGGATAAGGGGATGACAGAAGCTGAGATGGTTGGATGGCATCACGGACTTAATGGACATGAGTTTGAGTAAATTCTGGGAGTTGGTGATGGACAGGGAGGCCAGGCATGCTGCAGTCCATGGGGTCACAAAGAGTCGGACACGACTTAGTGACTGAACTGAACTGAACTTACCTCACACAATATACCAAATCTATACCAGATTAATTAAAGATTTAAATATAAAAAATGAAATCACAAGAGGGAGGTGGGAGGGGGAACGGGATGGGGAACACATGTAAATCCATGGCTGATTCAGGTCAATGTATGACAAAAAGCACTACAATATTGTAAAGTAATTAGCCTCCAACTAATAAAAATAAATGGAAAAAAAATGAAATCATGAAAGAACCAGAAAAAATGCAAAGAGTTACCTATGTAATACTGATGTATCCAAATTTAAAATGACAATTTAGAAATGTAGTTACTGACATAGAAGAAAGGTATCAAGCAACAAGATCCCATTTTGTGAAAATACCTATTTATATGCATAGAAAATTTCTAGATATGCATAAAGTGTTAATAGGGGTTGTTTGTGAGTAGTTTTTTAAAGCTATTTTTTCCTTTTTGCTCCTCTTTTCTATGTATGTGTATGTGCATGAATTTATGTATGTGTAATAAGTAGGTATTTCTGGTATAAAAATAATAGAAGTTAATGAAAAATTCTTAACTTCCCTTTCCCTCCTTTTTCTTGTATGGTCAAACTTCCTCCAGGAATTTTTTTTCCCTCAATTAACCAGTATAATTCCTTAAGTCTCCCCCTTTTAGTACTTTCCCATTCAACTGTAAGTTCTCTGAGAATAGACTTGTTTCATTATTTACTGTTCTTCCTTCCTAGGCATGCTCAGTAAGGACTGGTTGCATGGTGATCATTTTCTCAAAGCCTGCTTCAAAGTCTGATATAACAGTGAAGTTAAAGTCGCTCAGTTGTGTCCGACTCTTGGCGACCCCATGGATTATACAGTCCATGGAATTCTCCAGGCCAGAATACTGGAGTAGGTAGCTGTTCCCTTCTCCAGGGGATCTTCCAAACCCAGGGATTGAACCCAGGTCTCCCACATTGCAGATGGATTCTTTACTGGCTGAGCCACAAGGGAAGCCCAACAACTGGAGTGGGTAGCCTCTCCCTTCTCCACCCAGGAATTGTAGTGGGGTCTCCTGCATTGCAGGTGGATTCTTTACCAACTGAGCTATCAGGGAAGCCCACAGTGTAACAGTAGTAACCTTTTAACCAGCCAAAGTGGTCAGAAGTTTGGCCAGAGCTAACACAATCTGTCTGAGGGCAGTGTCTGCAATGGCTGTTGTCTCACTGGTCTCCCAGGCTGAGGTAACCAACTGGTTAGCTGGTAGCTGGTTGATGGGATTAGGCCTTTCTGTGTAAATCCTTCCCCAAAAAGCTTTCTTGTTCAAGAAGGTGGCCCTTCTCAAGCTGCCTCTTATTTAGTAATATCTGTCTAGCTGTGCTTCCTTGCCAGAACCTCTGTGTACAATCTCAGTGCTGTTGAAAACATAAATGATAGGCAGTAAAGAAACTGGGAGGAGAGAGAGAAGAAATGAGGATAGAAGAATGGAGGATCATGACCTTAAATGCAGCATGTTGCTAAACCCAACCATAAACATTCCCTGCACATAATAATACCTACAGTTGCACATGAAATTATTTTGCCAGGAAAGTCTACAGAGACATTGGTTTTCAAGGGACTGATGGCCATACTGGCAGCCCTCCAAGTTAAGAGACTTTACTGACTTCTGATTGAGTCTGCTTAGACAGAATCTTTGATAGAGTGAGCTCTTACTAGTAAAGACCATTCAGGCTTGTTGCAAGAATAAAATGAGATGGCAGATGGAAATATGTTTTATAGTCTATAAAACAATATACAACAAATGCTTGATGTTCTTCTTGTGAGCTCCTGAGGGCACTGACAGGGGTTTAATGTGGTCCAGTAGGGTCTTCATGGGAGTTTGGAACAGATTTCAAATACCTGCATCTAAAGAAAATGAAATCCCCCTACAGAATGAAGTGAATTGTGTCCTCAGTAGGGAAAAACGTGCCTGCACGTCTGGAGACAGCTAAACTGTGTAATGTCTGAGGAGTGATTGTTACCTAACTATATGAGAAAAGCTTTGGGTTTTCTGAGTGCCCTCAATTGATTAGAATTGTTTTCTTTAGAAGTAATTCCTCAGAAAATGCTTGTGATTTCATTGTTGGTGAAACTGTTGACACTTCTTTTAAAGTGTCTGTTAACTTATGATAAATTACAGTAGGAGTTCATGTGGCCCCCATGTGAATGTATTATGGCTGCACTACTTGAATAACTAACAATTTAAATAACGGCAAGGAAGGGACTAAAAAGTTAACTGCTACTGCTCTGCTCCTTCCATGAAAATGACCCTTTTTTCCTTCAAGCTTCAACACGAGATTTCATATCAGTTCCTGACCTGAATGTGTGTCTCAGGACTTGCATAATTAATGGAATGCCGTCCTAAGGTTGTTGAGATCTGCATTTCTGGACATTTCATTTTTATGGAGAGGTACTCATTCCCTCACTCCAAAGATTAAGCCTGAAAAATTTTCTCCCTAGGATTAAGAATCTTCCTTGTAACTTTATTGTTACAACAGTCAGAGACAGATTGGGGAGGTCTGGTAGTTGTTAGATGCCTTGCCAATAACCTGACCCTCAGCTTGGGGCTCCCTCAAATTTGCAATTTCTTAGTGGTTCCTCCTGTGAACATCTTGAAGAATACACACTGTCTGTTAATTTGAAGTGACTTAAATTTCCATTTTTTCTTTTTAATAGGTCCTGTTAAAAACAAGAAAAAGGGTAAGTCAATCTCTAGATTTTATAAAATTGCCATCGTGTCTTTTCTAAAATTAGAAGAAAAAAGTCAAGAGAGAAGGATTTTTATACTCTTTCAGTGCTGTTTGTCCATTGTTTTACTCAGTCACATGTGATCTTCTTGAGTACTATAGCTTCCAGGGAATAAGAAATATCTATCATTTTTCAGTGATGCTCTATTAAAGATAGAATTGCTTCTTAGCAACTTATGAAAGTTGTTTTTGCTTTTCTTTCTTGCTCCCTCTTCCATACAATTCATTTACCTCTCTTTCCTTCATTCTTCCTTACTCTTTCCCCTGACCTTCTCTTTTCTCCTTTTTTTCCCCTCCTTTATCAAATCAATGACCAGGTATGAATGATGTCCTGAGAGATGTCCGTACCCTCTTTTTTGGCCTAAAAGCTATCCCTCGCCTATTTCTCAAGTAGTCAGGGAAGGTATTTCTTGCTCTGGCGTTTCAGTATATTCTTTATGATGGAAAAACTTGGCTATAGTAGTACCCTGACCTTTTAGTCTTTTCCAAGAAGCTTCTAGTTGAGCGCATCCATTGTACTATTGCTGGGTCTGTAAGTCTCCAGTGTACTTGCAATGGGAATGACCCATGAGTTTGTACAAGAGCTTGCCTTCTTGAAAAGAGGAACCCAACAATAGATAGGTTCCAAAAGACAGGACCAGGCAATATGGTTCACTCCTTAAGACTAAGAAACCCAACCTTGAAACCAGTTTTAAGTACCTATTTGTTTTTGTGTTCTGACCTGGGAGGAAAATAGAGTGAAATTTATGATTTTTCATTAAAATATTCTAAGAGAAATAATTCTGTCTGTTAACACTTCTGGAGCTTTATAGAATATATTATCAACCCCAGATTAGATCCAAAACATTGGCTTCAGCTGCCTCCTGTCACTTCTCTGAGCAGTAGGGTACTCCAGTGGCTTGAGGTGCCATGGCTCACATGGGAAACTTGTGTCCCTATTGGATAGAGGCTGAGGAATGGCCTGGCCCCTGAGGACCTGAGCAAGCAAAATTGGGAAACAGTCAGAGAACTGGAGTCAGTGAAGAAACATTTCTCTGTGGGGCCTCGGCATTCACCGAGCTATTCTGTCTTTTAAGAAAGTAAATTTGACTTTCAAGTGTGCAGTTTTCTGTTCTTGTCAAATCCCTTTAAGACAGAAATTTTAACAAACCTAGAAGGCTCCCCTGGCCTGGACAATGACACCCTCTGCTCCTAACACAAGTCCAGGGGTGACTTCTTTTTTTCTTAATAGGTAGCCTCAAGAGTACTTTGTAATGATAGCTATTAGGGGTTTTTTCCTACTCACTCATTCACTAGACAGTGAATAAGCATCAGCTGAGATACAGAGATGAAGATAAATGGTTTCTGCCCTCCAAAATCTTCCAGTGTAGTTGGAATCATGGAAGAACACACAAATAATTGCATTATAGTATTTAAAAATTCAATCATAGAAGCATGAGCAGGGTGCTGGGAGAGCACAGAGAAAGAACAAGTAGTTCTCCCTGGGGAGTGAGGTACCACATCTCAGAGAAAATATTATCTAACCTGGACTTTGAAGGATGAGGGGGAAAAAGGGGGAAGAACATTCTAGCAAAGAGAACTGGCAGGTCTCAAAGGCATGAAAGAACACATCATATCTGGGGGAACAGCAAGTAGGCTAGTGATTTACCCAATTACAAGGCATGTGTATGGTGGGGAACAGCACCCGCTTCAGTGTCATCCAAGGGATGACCCCGAGAGAACATGCTTGGCAGTGGTAATAGAAGGCAATTGTCTAGGTGAGAAGCACTGGAATTACAAACTCAGGAGATCCCAATGCTTCTGGCAGTGACTCGAATCGCTGCCCAGCACTACTACCTGGTACGTGGGCCATTATTGGGAATAGAATGCACATAGGCCTTAAACATTTGCCTTGGCCAAAAGTGATTTAGAAGCCATTTAATACAGATTTCCTTGGATACAATGAGTAGGCACATGCCTAAAGAGGTAAATTGATTTGTTCATTTCATGTCCATCCTTTAATGGAATTTTCCCCCTCCCATATCTCTCCCCCATCTTAGTTCATTCTGTCAACAATTTGAGTGTCACTAAAAAAATGTGTGTATTCTTCCATCTAAGACTACACAGGGTAACTTTATACATACAAAAGTCTCTGGGCTTTTGCATCATGAAGTGCTCTGTTAAAGTAAGGAAATCCAGAGAAGGAATGCAATACTCTAAAGTCATCGTCTTAGTCCAGGGGTCATTTTGTGCATGCTTCTCTCTGGGCCAATTTTCTATAAGGATGCAAAGATGAGAAGCGCACTTGCCTAAACCTGGTTGCAGGGAAGCAAAGACCACCAGCTGCAGAACTAGATCCCAGCAGGAGCTATTTCCCAGATTCCTTCTAGCATTTTCATAAGTGAGCATTCTCTGTTTACACTGCAACCAGTATTCTCTTTCACTGGAGGAGTTTCTGGCTCTGATTCTTCCAAAATTACATTAATAATCACAGGAGACTCACAGTCTTGATACTGAAGTTCACACTACCCACAGATCCCCCTCTAGCTCAAAAATCACTGTTAGGCCTGGAAATTCTGGGACAGGAGACAGCCTACTATGCACCATCCCATGTGTCTGTGCCACCCATAAAAGAATGAGAGAGAAGCAGACTTTATAATCAAACTAGGGAAGTCTCCTGACTATCAGGGGTAAGTCAGTCCTCCTTACGGAACCTCAGTCTTGCGAGGAAACTTAGAGAAATCATCGAAGCCAAGCTCCTCGTTTCACTGATGGAGAAACTAAGGCTCAGGGAGAAGAAGGAATTTGCCCAAAGTATATGTCCATGGCAGAGCTGAGGCTTACAGACTTATCTCCCGGCTACAGATTCCCTCCCTGTTTTTTCCACTACACTAGGTGGAATTGAAACTTGGGCACTGAATAAGCCTGACTTGGAACCTGCCCAAATCTGAAGGGAGATGGCTTTCCTGTTCAGCATCTTAAAATTGGCTAGATCTCGTAACTGGGCAGATTGAATCTTTTGCTGCTAAGTGCAGGGAAAATGCTAAAACTCCTGCCTCTCCCTGGGAGAAAAGCTCTCTGTACTTTCCTTATTTTCCTCCCTGGGGAAGGGGCCCCACAATGACCCTGTTGTTTCATTGTAAATGCAGATGTGGTTAGACATGGACAACTGACCTCTTGAGTGGCGTTGCCATGGGGATTGGGTTTCTTGAGCACGGCATTCTCCTTAAAAGAGAACCTGATGAATCAGAACAGGATTCTCCAGCCTGCAAGTCCAGGAAGCCAGAAGGCAGTGTCAGGAAGAGGTATTTAAGTGAGACTTGACAGGGTTATATTTTAAAAGGAAGAAAGTATCACAAGTGAAGACACCATGATGGAGGCTGGGGAAAGGTTCCCATTCCTGGGACTTCCACAAGACTGTGAAAAGGCAGGGAAGTGAGGAAGCAGCCGCCCTCCTGTGACCATCTGCAGTTCTTGAATTGGACTGCACAGAGTGAGGAGGTAAACAGGAAGGACTGGAGCTTTCAGTTCAAGGCCACAGTTAGGACTTGGTTAACGTAGATCTGGTGGGAATATGGGAAGGACTGGAATGTGGAATAGGAAGGCTGAGACTGCTCTGAAAAGAGAGCAAGGAGGAAATGGGGAGGATCTGGTGGCTTGATTAATAATATATTCAAGAATAGGGCCTCTGAGGAAAGAAGACTCTGGGAAGCTAGATTATTTAGCCTATAAACATAGAAGTTGATAGGTGACTTAATGTCCTTGAGCACATTAGGGTTATTGTGTGTATGATGGCAACTATTCTTTTCTATCTATACAAACAATAGAATAAGAGCTTAAACTTCCACTGGAGGAATTTCAGTTCAATATACAGAAGAACTTCCTAACAGTGAGGGGGTGATAAACATTGGAACATGCTACCAAGGGATTCTGCAGAATTTCCTTTCCCAGAGCTCTTTAAAAATAGGGTTTAGAGAGGTCAGCTGAGAAAGCAAAACCTGCCTGCTGCTTCCTCCACAGCTCAGCTCTCTCTGGTCTCCACCACCCCTTCTTTCCTTATGTTACTTGAGCCTTCTCTCTCTCTCCTTCTCTCCTTCTCTCCTCCCTCCCCCTCCCCCCACCACCTCTCCTTCCCAGACTCCTTCCAATTCTGCTTTCCAGCCTTCATCCCAAGTTCAAGTCCCTGTACATCCTGACTCCTACAGGAAGCCTTCCTGGAGCTGATAGTCTTCCTAAGGTCAAGCTGGCCTCCTAGCTTGCTCGTCTCATCTACATCAAGTCCACCAACCTGGATAGTAAACATGAGAGCCACGCTCTGCAACAATAGCCCAGTTCTCAATTCTAAAAAGTTGCCCACTTTTTAAGGTCTACCCACTTGGTGATTCTGATCCTTTGGACTTAGCCAAACTGTAACCTCCTTTTTTAAGCCTTCCCTGACTTCTCCAGCATTTTGTCCCTACAGTTAATGCAACACTTCTACTGTCCTGTGACTGTGTCTATTTCCACATGAGACCAAGTTCCTTGAGGGTCATTATTTCTTCAAACCCAGCCTGTAAATGCTGATTCATGAAACACAAAGTGTGTGTGTGTGTGTGATGTGTGATAAAAGTATCCACCTCTTTAAGAGCAGGAACTCCCAGAGGGCCAACTTTGTGTCATGAGAAAGCTGTGGGACTCCTGACAGTACACTCTCAGTCAATAATTATAAATGTGATACCGAATCTCATCTTTCAGGAAAGAAGGCAGGACCTCCTGGACCCAATGGCCCCCCAGGACCTCCAGGACCTCCAGGACCCCAAGGACCCCCAGGGATTCCAGGGATTCCTGGGATTCCAGGAACAACTGTTATGGGACCACCCGGCCCTCCAGGTCCTCCTGGTCCTCAAGGACCCCCTGGCCTCCAAGGACCTTCTGGTGAGTTCTTCCATCTCTCCACTGTCCTAGGCTCCTTAAAAGTTCTTTAATAGAATAGGAACAGGTGATCCCAAGGGCAGTTTAAAATGATGGTGTGTGGTCTCCTTGCTCAGTGGAGAGCTAGGAATTGGACAAGCCAGTAGAGCCTGCCCTTCTCTAACTTCTTATTTATGGAGCTTCCCAGGAGGTGCTAATGGTAAAGAATCTGCCTGCCAATGCAGAAGACATAAGAGACACTGGTTTGATTCCTGAGTCAGGAAGATTCCCTGGAGGAAGGCATGGCAACCCACTCCAGTATTCTTGCCTGGAGAATCCCATGGACAGAGGAGCCTGGTGGGCTACAGTCCTCAGGGTCGCAAAGAGTCAGACACGACTGATGGCGTGTGGTCTCCTAGCTCGGTGGAGAGTTAGGAATTGAACAAGTCAGTAGGGCCTGCCTTGCTCTAACTTCGTATTTATACCACCCTGTCAGGGAAGAGATACCTGTTCTTGACCTGTGGATTTTGTCTCCTCTGATTTCCAGCATCTAGCTTCACATACTGATGTTTGATTAGAAAAAGGCAAAAGGGAGGAATGGGCTTCCCTAGTGGCTCCCAGGTAAAGAACTCACCTGCCAATGCAGGAGATGCAGGTTTGAGCCCTGGCCCGGGAAGATCCCTTAGAGATGGAAATGGTAACCCATTCCAGTATTCTTGCCTGGGATATCCCACGGACAGAGGAGCCCAGTGGGCTACATGGGGTCACAAAGAGTCAGACACAACTTAGCGACTAAATGATAACAACAACATGGAGAGGAATGTTGGGGGCTGGACAGAATGACAAGCCCTAGAGTAGTCTCATCCCATGAACTCTGAAATGCCTTTCCCATAGAGGTAGACCAGTAGTCACTGATAATCAAGGAGTTGGAAACTTATGAGTCATTCAGGCTGTGGAAGAAGCAGACACAGGCACCAAGACCAACCTGTTGAGGAACCAAGTGCTTATTGTGCCACATCCTTCCCCTACCACGTTGCCCATTTGAATAGCATTTAATCTCTTTGCATCTTTCCCCTTGGGCCCAGAAGGCCATCCCAAAGTTATTGATGCAGATCCAAACCTGCCTAATCAGAGTTGACAGGAGTCAGACTGCCTGGGCTTAGGTCAGTTGCTATTTCCTTCTCCTGCTCCCCTCTTGTGTCTTGGGGCTTTTACAGAAATGGACTCTTCACAACTGATTTCTCTGGGTCCAAGAATACTGCCACAAGACTCATATTCTTTGACTGGTAGTGCAAACAGGGCTAATCAGTGTCATTGTGGCCCCAAGAGATGCAGTTTGTAATTTTTTTTCATCCAATCTTTCTACAAATATTCATTGCGTATTTTCTATGTGCAAGAGATATATTGATTAGTGGTTCCTGTTCTCGTGGAATTTATGTTGTACAGGATGAGAGTGACAATTAAAGAAGCAAGATGTTTACAAATGGCAATGCATTCTACAGCGAAAAGTAACAGAAAGAGAACAAAAGGCTAAAGAAGCAAGCGCCATTGTCTTGGGGTCACATGGTGGCAGGAATGCACTCTCCTCTGTCACCATGAGTGCTCAGTGGCACTTGCCTTGGGCCATTGTTGGCGAGAGGCCAGTTTCCTGCTGGGTGCTGGGCACACTGAAGATGCAGGTCAGGGACAAGTCAGAGAAGAAAGGGGTGTCATCTCCCACTCCTGAGCCCCGCATCACACCCTGACTCTCCCTCCAGCTCTGAGTCCTGGAAAATAAGGCTCAGATGCTGCTTTGCAAAAGGCTCAGAGTGAGCCTGGCTTGGCTCAGACAGGGAGCAAAAAGCTCAGTGCCATTGGCTGCCTAGATGAAGAGAAAAGCAAGTAGACAGAGCATACCCTCTGACTGGCCTGTCCTATTTTGCAGGTGCTGCTGATAAAGCTGGAACTCGAGAAAACCAGGTTGGCTGGGAATTGCTGTCTTGCTGGGAAGGAGGGAAGGCCACAGGCTTGAGCCACCCTTGAGTTTGCTCCCTGCTAAGTTTGCTGAGGCTTTCTTTTGTGAGGAGACCCTGGAGGTTCTGGGGTTTTTCATTCACAGCCCCCTCCCATGAATAGAAAAACTTTGCCCCAGGGCCTGCTTTTAGCAAGAGAGCTGAGCTGTGGCTATTTTTCCCCATTCCCTAGGAGACAGAGGGTCACCACAGCCAAGCCCAATAGTCAGCTGACATGAGCTGTCAGTGAGGCCTATTCACCTGGTCCTGGGCCTCCCTGACTACACCAGACACCTTGTCGGCTCTCTAACCACCTGACATCAGCAGCTTAGAAGTTTAAGAATATGTTCTTGAAAATCAGCCCACCAGTTCCAGGTCAAGCCCAGCTTGGCCTTCTGCCTTCATGGCCTGAAGGGCTCCTCCCTAGTCTCTGAGCTTCCTGATCCATCTCTACTGGCAGTTTCCACCACCTCGCCTTGTCTCATCACGGCTTCTTTCACTACAGCTGTTTGGCCACAGCAATCAATCTACACAGCTGCACGGTGCTGGATGGCTTGCAGGGTATTTTATATTCGTCACCTCAGTTGATCTTCAGACATCTCTGTGAGAGAGGCCAGACAGAGATTCTCAGAATCCCCATTTCACAGTTAGGGAAATGAGGCTCAGAGGCATTACGTCTGGCAGAGCTATAAAATCACATTACCCTCTAGGAGAAATGTGGCCACTCACATCCCAAGACAGGGGAGAGGGGTCAGAATTGGGATACAAATGAAGACTAGAAGGTGGAATCCTGGCAACTGGTGGCTGAGCAAGCAGCCATTTCTCACAGTGACTATTTTCTCTGTTCTTCTCATCTTCCCAGCCAGCCGTGGTGCATCTACAGGGCCAAGGGTCAGCAATCCAAGTCAAGAATGGTAAGAGTCAAAGTAGGCTCTCTCCTTAAGAAGAGTTTCTTCCTTTCCCCCCACCACCCTTACCCACGGCCTTCAAATAATCACCCAGCCTAGTTCCTCTCAGACCTCGGAGGTACCCTTGACACTAGGAGCCATTCTCTACTCCATTTTGCCCTCTGCTGGCTGTTTCAAGTAATTGCTTGCCCTCAGACTGGTTGCTACAAATTGCAGTTAGAATCACAGATTTTAAAAAAAGAAGTTGAAAGGGGCTTGAGACATCGTCTAAACCAGGGATTCTTGGAAAGTGGAGGCTGAATCAGAGTCACCATTGGGAATATGTGTAGTCTGATCAACATTTTCACAATACAAATTATAGAAAGTAGAAATACATAAAATCAAATCTTCTTGTGTGATGGGTCTAGGGTGGAGGGGCATTTCTCTCAGGGAAGTGGGGGGCATGTTAGACTCTGTAGGAAGTATGAGATGCTAGTGTCTACAAAAGAAGGGGGTGGACTGAAGGAGGTTAGAAATCCTACTTTAATGTAATGCCTGCATTTCAAAGGTGGGGAAACAGAGTGCCAGAGAGATTGGACAACACCATATTAAATCTACTGCCTTTTGTTTCTATGGTACTTTAGAGTTTTCTACATACTTTTTTTGTCTTTGATTTGATTTGATCCTCACAACAAAGGAAGGCATTAGCTCCTTTTTACAGAGACAGAAACTGAAGCTCAGAAAGGTTAATTAACTGGCCCAAGATTTCCTTTAAGAGTAGGAGCTGGGATTCAAAACCACATCTCTCTGACTCTTTCCACTGCACTGTGCTACTTCAGTGATGTGTGTGTATACTCAACTGAGTGATTAGCTTCATTTTCTTCCCCAAAGAGACATGAACATTGATTAAAGAACAATGCTTTGAAATAATGTCCAGTCCCCAGGGTATACAAAGCCTAAAATGCATGAACCCCCAGGAGCCTCAGGAAGCAGCAAGCCAGCCAAGATGCCAGATGCTTACAGAGCTTGGAGTAGAAGGGAGGGGCTGTGAGTACAGAAGCAGTAAATGAAGGGTCAGAAACCTGCTGCATGGGGACAGCTTCTAAGAACCCAGTCAGTCCTGAACTGGCTGTGCTCTGCTTCCTTAGTGACTGGGCTTGGCTACCTCTCGTACTGCCACCTGGATGCCTGACTTAATTGCCTCAGAACTATAACTAAGAACACAATGGCAAAACTGTCCTGCTGGGACCAGGTGCCTTGAGACCCAGGATGCTGGATAGGCCATTGTCACCATCTATCCAGGGAGGAGTGAGGCAGTCAGGAAATAGATTTGTTTGGGTGTCTGGATGGGTGGCCTCAGTGTTATGCCAGAATCTACTGAGTTTGCTCCCACCATACAAAAAGACTAGTTCCGACCCCTCTGGGCCAATCCCCCAAGTAGTCTATGCTGATCTTTAGTTCCAGCAGAAGCAAGAGTGAGGGGTCAGGGGTAGGAAGATTTCCTGCAGAGTGGTCCTCCGTGAGGGACAGAGCCAGGGCGTCTCCTTTGAACTCCTATCCTGTCTGCTTATCACCTCAAAGGAAGATGAGCACCTTTTCCTCACCTCGGAAAGGCAGACTGCCCGAGACTAGCCAAGGATGGTCTTTCAAAACCTGTTTTCTTGGATGAAGAGTGGATTTTTTAAAATTTATTTTTAATTGAAGGATAACCGCTTTACAATATTGTGTCGGTCTCTGTCATACATCAGCATGAATCAGCCATAGGTATACATATATCCCCTCCCTTTTGAACCTCCTTCCTACCTCCCACCCCATCCCACCCCTCTAAGTTGTCACAGAGCCCTGGTTTGAGTTCCCTGAGTCATACGGCAGATTCCCATTGGCTATCCATTTTACAGATGGTAGTGTATATTCTTTCATGCTATTCTCTCCATTTATCCCACCCGCTCCTTCCCCACTGCACACACACCCCCATGTCCACAAATCTGTTCTCTATGTCTGCATCTCTAAGAATGGATGGTTTTGAAGGGAAAAGGCTCCCAAGCCTGGACTCCCTCCTCTTGAGGTGGGAAGGAACATCCCATTTGCTACAGAATGGAAAGGGAAGCTCTTCTTCCTGCCTCACATGCCTCTCCACCCACAATGGGGTATTAATGAGAAATGCTTTGCAGCAGTGCCTCCATGCTCTTACACCCTCTCCATCCATTTGGCTGGTTCTAGGGCTGTGTGGCAGTTGATCCCTCATTCTCATAAAGATCCCTCTGCCCTACATGGCCTTATTACTGGCGGTTCCTTGTCTGACTGCCATGAAGTCTGACTTCACCCTGATCCCTAAAGTTCTCTGGGTAGACAGATCCTTGGGCCAAGTGGTTTACTGGGGGCCCATGGAGACTTTCCAGAAAGAAATGAGTGTGGAGGAACTATAAAAAGGTATCTGTTAAGGACAAGGAGAAATAGGGATTCAGGAGCCATGGCTGGTGAGATGAAATGGAATAATAAGACCTAGCCTGCCCCTCAGTGTCTGGATTTTGCCTGTGCAGGCCTCAGAACAACAAAGAAAATAGGGCAGCGTGCCCACCCTCTTCTTACCAACCACCCCCAATTCCAGTTGGAAGGTGTTGGTTAAAGATCCTTCCAGACAGAGAAGTCAGAAAAGGAAACAGAAAGGACATGCAGACCCCAGAGGCCTGAAGCAGGCCTGGCTGCCAATTTACAAATAGATGCTTTCTCTGCTTCCGGATGTTCTTCTTAAAGCTGGGCCTCCTGGGCTATTCGGGTTATATCACAATGGGGGTGGGGGTTGTGTACAACTTGATATTTGTTGTTTCTATTGCCCAGATGATTCTGACATGTACTGAGTGACTGCCGTTCTCTCATACTGAGATCTTTCAGGTGGAGTACTCAATGACTGGTCTCGCATCACCATGAACCCCAAGGTGTTTAAGCTACACCCCCGCAGTGGGGAGTTGGAGGTACTGGTGGACGGCACCTACTTCATCTATAGTCAGGTAGAAGTGAGTACGGTCTCAGGCCTAACTCTTCTTATATCCAGAATGCAGATCCTTTGCATGCCACAGAGGGGCACTGTGGAGCCAGCCCGGACCAGCCAATGGCTGAAGTCCTGGGTGGGGGAGGTTGGAGGGAAGACCCACTATGGGAGGGAATTGAAAGGAAGGAGTTGAAAGGAGGAGAGACAGAAGGGGCTGTTTGGGGTTTTTTTCTTAGCCAGATATGATTGAAAACTGAAAAGAGGCTCCTCCCACACCCTGCCATCTGATCCCCTCCTACAGGGCCCCAGGCCCTAGCTTCCCCGCTGAGCTGTTTGGTTCTACTGCCAAAACCGAACTCTGTCTGAGTATATTCTTTAAAAGTCAGTTCCAAGGTTGCTGAGAACCCGTCCCTCCCCACACCACTGGCTTTATAATGAAGAGTGCTCTTCCGGACCTTCTCTCTACCTCAGAAAAATTTCTGTCTTTCATTTCTCTTTCTTCCATTTGTTTCCCTACCTTTCTGCTTCTCTGTTACTCTTGCTTCTTTAGTCTCCCTTTTTTTCTGTCCCAGCACTTCTCTCCCTCTGTTTTTGTCCTTGTCCCAGCCCAGGGCCCACTTCCCAGGTCAGCCAGTGCCCATCCACTTCCACCCTGTTGTGTGTCTCCAATAGTGTGACTCCTCAGAGCTAGAGGTGAATGAGCCTTGAGGCTGGGGCTTCTGTGGGGTGAGGGGCAAGCAGGCAGATGGACAGAAAGACAACAAAGCCGGCAGAAGGGTCTCTCAGGAAAGTAGTCAGAGAAGATGGGTCCTCGAGCATTTGCTGAGCCCACCAAACATCCTGACACAGCTTGGGTCCTGACCCAAAGATTTTTTTCAATTTATTTTTAAAAAATAGAATTTACTTTATTTTTTGGAAGTCCTAACACCTGAATGCGCTGCTGCCTCCTAAATAGACTATGAAGGGAGCAACCTTTCTTAAAGTCATTTAGGGTGACAGATGGGTGTCCCAAAACCCAGGGGTATGATACCAATGTCCTATGGGACGTTGGTCCTAAGTGCCATTTGATGTGGGATGGGGATCAAAGCTTGGGGTGGGGTGTGATGGATAAGGTGGTGATGAAGAGAAAAATTAATTCTCTGGGCTTGCCCTGGGTTAGAATGGGGGGTGGGCTCAAGCCTTGGACCCCACACAAATTGGGAAAATCCCCTGGATGTCATGCCACTGAACACAGCTTAGCACTTCCTTCTGTTCACCAAGTAAAGTTAGTTTTGCCCTTCCACATTCTTTATCTCATTTGTGACGGATTGCTCTACATCTCTCTGGACCTGTTCTTCTATCAGTAGATGAGAGAACCAAGGGGCACTGGGAGAATCAGAGAGAAATTCAGCAGCAGGGCAGGGGGGCTACAAGCAGAAAGAACTGAAGAACCCACAAATTGTTCCTGCACCCTCTTAGGGGAATCAATGACTTCTAAGTTTATCTACAGAGACTTCCCTGGTAGCTCAGGTGGTTAAGCTTTCCACCTACAGTGCGGGAGATCTGGGTTCGATCCCTGGCTCAGGAAGATCTCCTGGAGAAGGGAATGGCAACCCACTCCAGTATTCTTGCCCACCCCCATCCCCCCATGCCCCCACCCCCCACCCCCCAAAAAAGAGGCTAAGTTTATCTTACAAATAGTTCCTGGGGCTAGAAACCGAAAACTGATTCATAGTCATTTGTGTCTGCAGCACTGATCAAGCTCCTGGTGTGTAAGGAGAACTGTGCTTCACACTAGGGTCAAAGAGAGCAGCCGGCGGGGGTAGGGAGCTAGGGGAGGTAAAGGGGTGAATGAGGCGTGGCTCTGACCCTTGCAGAGTCTCCCCCCACCATGTGCTATTGAAAGGAAGGTTTCCAGCCCCCTGAGCCCAATGGAGGGGAAGCAGGACAGTGAATAAACCTGTCACCTCACCTGTCCTGTTGTCTGACTAGCGTGTCTTCAGGTGGCACTGTTCCCTTCACAGGGCACAGTGGCAACTCGCATGAGTGGGTCCTGTCTACTGGTCACCAGGGAGGGCCCCACCCTCTCCTTCTGCTCGCCCCCAATCCCTTCTTGTTGCCTCTCCCCCAGGTATACTACATCAACTTCACTGACTTTGCCAGCTATGAGGTGGTGGTGGACGAGAAACCCTTCCTGCAGTGCACCCGCAGCATTGAGACAGGCAAAACCAACTACAACACTTGTTATACAGCAGGTGTCTGCCTCCTCAAAGCCCGGCAGAAGATCGCCGTGAAGATGGTGCACGCTGACATCTCTATCAACATGAGCAAGCACACCACCTTCTTCGGGGCCATCAGGCTGGGCGAAGCCCCTGCATCCTAGATCCCTCCAACCTCGTTTTGCCCCTGCCCATGCCCCTACCCCAGGTTAGGGAGCTAGGACTCCCAGAACCTCTAAGTGCTGCTGTGGAATGAGGTATGTGGGTGTCACAGCCGCAGAGAAAAATTTCCCAGTCCTATTTATTCCCCAGTAATTCCAAGATGACAAGGCCAACTTGACTTTCCAGATTGACCAGGAGTGAACAGGACAGTTGATGAAGCCCCAGGGTTGGCGTGAAGCAGAACCTTCCTCCTTGGCTCCCCACTGACTGCTTCTGTTGCACTAAAGTGAGGGGCTTGGGCAGCAGGCGAGAAGTAGCAACAGTACAGCCCAAATTGTGGGGCAAGCCTTTGACCTCGAAGGGTGCGTGTGGGGACAGGGGTGGGGTGGGATGGTAACATTGCAGCCTAAGGAGAGAGGCAAGGAGGGAAATGCAGGTGGTGGTTGCAGAAACCAGGGGAGAAGCCTGCCAGATGTTTTCCCACTCTTGCTGATCCATGTGCCAGCAGTTGGCAGGGCTTTGGGGAGAGAAGATTTGCATTTCCTTGAAGCAGTTGCAGGGCATGGCCATACACCTGCCTGTATAAGAACCAGAGGCCATGCTTGGGGCCACATGTCTTTTTACAGCTGTGTTCCAAGCTCAGAAAACTCCCCGGGTCCCTGCACAATTATCCCTTTCCCAGCCTGGTGAGAACTCCCATTTTTTTCCTCTCCAGAGCCTACCTCTGTCTGAGACTGGTGCCTATCCCGGGACCTGTGTTTGTGTGAGTCTGAGATACTCTTTAGATTACCTGGGCACAAAGGAAGTTGTCCATGTATTAAGCAGCACAAATATTCATCTAGTCGAGCTATGTCTGGGGGCAAAGAGTTGAACTGGATGACCTCCAAAAGTGCCTTCAAATTCTAGTATCTAGGCAGCTGCCATGCTAGCCTACTAAAATTCCCAAACCTTAGACTGACCCTGGGCATCAGCAAGGCAGAGCTTTTCTATCAGACCCAGAAAGGGTAAGAGCTGGGGATGGGACAGGATTTTCTTCAAGTGTATTGCAATCCAAGTGGTCATTAGTGCAGACCTTGTCTGAAAGGACAACAACTGATGCCCTACTAACCAGATACCACCCCCTTTCTTCTCTCTGGCTCCAGAAAACCACAGCACAGAAGAGTCACCATAGATTCCAGTGCTGCTTCCCTGAATCCAGGCTCAAGAGGAGGCAGTGTCTAGGCAATGGGCAGGCCCTTTTAGTCAGGCCCAAAGACACCTTTCCCCCACCCTCAAGCTTCCCATCGAATCATATGATAGGATCATTCAAGGGTCTTATTTCTAACTGTCTGGGCCCAGTCTGGGTGCTGGGTCTGTAGCCCAAAGCTGAGACAGCCAGTCTGGTAGAATCTGCTACTTTTACTCCTAGAACAAATTTCCTTTTGCAGAGAGAGGGAATAAGGTCCTTCAGACAGCTGAAATCCACCAAGAACAACAGGTACTCATTTCCCTGCTGTGCCTTCCTTTTCCAAGAAACTATGCTGCTTGGCCCTTCAAGGATCAGAGCAAGAGGGAGTGAGCTATTCTACCATTATCTGGCTGCTAATGATAGCCTTCCCACCCCAGATGAGGCAAGCTTGAGGCATGTGTTTGACCCCAGATCCTATAAAGTGCCTTAGACAGTCCTCAGTTAGCAGAATCTGATGAGAACCTCTCCTTAAAGTTTGTATTTTCTCTTTCTCCATTGATAATATTACCAACCCCATCATTTAGATGAGGCTCAGAGGTTGAGTGCTTTGAGCAGGATCTCACCCAACTTAAGTCATACCTGGGGCTTTCAACCAGGTCTGACTGTGAAGCTCTTCTGTTCTTCCCCAGCATTGTTTTGAATTTGGAATCCAAGAAAGAACCAGTCAAAATGGTAATATGGACCCCAAATCCTTGAGGGACCTAGGGAGAAACCCAGAGAGGCTCATTTTCATTCCTTGATGGTAATGCCTTTTCTTTTGACTGCCAAAGGCTCTGGGACAAAAGAGTAGGCCATTTCTTTGGGAAACTCCCATCAGCCTTATAGCTTTTGTGTTCAGAAGAATCGTCTTGATAGCATGCCCAAGCAGCAGGCCTCCAGTACCCACAGAACAGATACCCCTTGTGTTCTTTCATCCAATGAAAGAACCAACCAATGAACCAACCATTGTGCATGGAGCCCCTCCTATGGACAAGGGCTTCCTCTGGTTACCCTTCAGACAAGTTACAGGAGCTGGTCACTTCCCACAGCTACAGAGTGACTCCTTATCTCTTTCTGCCATACCACAGAGACCTCTGTATTACCAGGATCTCTCAGGGATGCAAAGACAACCCAAGAGAGGTCTGGATCTAAAATCAAAAGGGTGTGAGACAAGGGCACTAATTGTGCCACTAAAGGGCATTCTGACACCAACCCTCTTCTCCAGGTATGGAGGGGATTAGAGGGAAAATAGGATTCACACAGGACTCTTATTCATTGTGACCCTTCAAATGCAACTCTGGAGGGAGAGGAGTAATGAGGGAAGCAAGAGGTAGCTGGGGAGCCCTGTTGCTGCAAAGTTATTGAAGTCATTTACCCTTAAGAGAATGTGGCTTTAGAAAGCTGAGGCTAGCACAGAGGATGGGATGAGGACATTTGTGAGCAAGTAGATGACAGAGGTTTGAAGGAGAATTGCATGGTGGGGGCTTTGCCAGCTGCTCTGGCTCCAACAGCCAAATCTGGCACAAAAGGCAGCTGTTGGGGACCCCCTTCATCCATCCTGAGCCAAATTTCTTTTGATGAGCAGTAAAGGGCTAGGAACCCTGAAGGTGAACCAAGAGTTTGAGCCATGTGTGAATATGTGTGTTTTATGTAACTTCTGGTGGATGCAAATAGATTCAGAGAAATTAAGAACTCGAGAGACCCTTAGAAGTAATCTAGCCCAACCTACCTTCTACCCTACTCATGTGGAAACTGAGGTCCAGAGAGGGAAGGCGACCTTCCTGAGGTGAGGGGCCCCAACCTCCAGACTCAGCAAGGTGAGGGAGGCACAGTCTGTGTCCCACACAGCCCCCTTCTTTCTGCAACCCACAGACTCAAGGCTGGAAGTGCTTGGCCCCCTTCCGGAGCCTGGTCAGGCAGGGAATGCATGGCCACAGCCTTTGTTAGAGTGCTTCCTTCCCCAAGGCACTTCCCCCAGCTTCTGCCTCAGGATGGAAGCCTCTGGACAGGCCCAAATGCAGGGAGTCCTGGGGCCACCTCAGGACCCACCCCTGCCTGAAGTCTTCCCTAGGCCATGTGAGCACAAAAAAGGAACTGGATTTTTTCCTTGTAATCCATTTTAGGGTCTCTCTCCAAGTGGAGTTGGGATATGTCATTTCTTTAGTCAAAAAGCTTCCAGCTGGGACGGGGGAAGGGCTACACGGTGAGGATGGCCTGGAGTAGGCCCAATGCTGCTTTGGGGATCAGCATCCAGTGTGAGATACTGTGTATATAAACTATACATAATGTATATAAACCGGGATGTAAGTTTGTGTAAATTAATGGTTTATTCTTTGCAAATAAAGCTTTTTCCCCTTGTTCTTAAAATCAGCTTGAGTACTTCCTACCTGCTAGGTGCTTTTGGCGGGGGGGGAGGGGTTGGGGCGGCTTGTGGGATCTTAGTTCCCTGACCAGGACTGAACCTCAGCAGGTTCCTGAAAGCCCGGAATCCTAACCACTGGACCACCAGTGAATTCCACTACATGCTTCTTTGACACCACACATGAACTTGGGGAAGAACCGAGGCACCCATTTCAGAAGGGACAGCAGAAGCAAGGTGGTCTGAGTTTCCTGTCAGAACATCCCATATCCTCTCTGTGCCCCAGCCCACATGTACCCATCCCCATCACCTGGGTCTTTTCCTGTAACCACATGTCCAATAGGCTAGGGGTCCTGCAAAAATGAACATTTTCCTGAAGTGAAGACACAGTGGGGAGTCACCCTCAGCTTGAGACCCTGACTTCTATAACATTCTTCAGTCCTGGGCCCAAAACAGCTTGGGTAGATCCAGCCTCCAGCTCCCCATGACGTATCACTCATTTTGCAGATGAGACCAACAAAGAGTTAAAGTAGCTCCCCAAGCTAGAAAGGTTACTTAAACTTTCAAACAACTATTCACAAGATCCTACAGTGTCAACTTTCTTTAAAAATTAGGAATTTCCCTGGCTATCTAGTGGTTAAGACTCCTCACTTGCAGTGCAGGGGGCATGGGTTTGATCTCCAGTCAGAGAGAGGGTCAGTGCTGAGGGGCAAACAAATGAAAAATAAAATAGAAAAGCTTGAAAAAAATAACAATAAAAATAGACTAGAATTTTTTTTAATTGGATAAACTTTCTAAACATTGAGATGTCATGACATTTAGGGTGTTATTTGTTCAGGGATAAGAAGTGGGCAAAATGGTTGGAGAATAATTTTGTGTAGCTCTCCAGTATACAAAGTTCAATCACATTCAGTATTATCCCACCAACCTTTGAAGTAAGCACTGGAGGAACTATTTGTCTCATTTTACAGATGAGGAAACAGACTCAGAGAAGACTGATTGTTTCAAGTCACAGGGTTTGAAGGTGGAGGGGCCTAAATTCAAAGTCCAGTGGATCTCAAGGCCGACGGTCCTGGAGAAGCCTTGATGCCAGAAGATGGGGCTACTTAAGAGCTGAAGAGAAAGAGACAAGAGCAGGGATCCTAGGGAACAGGCTAGTTGGGGCACAGACAGTATCAGAGGTGGGCTTTTTATTCTGTCTCTTGTTTTTCTCAGTTCTGATGCTGAGTGGGTGCATATGAGAGAGGTTTCAGATCACCTCTCCCCAGGGCCTTCCCTGCCTTTGGAGTCATCTCCTTGTAACCCTAAGGTAAAGTCAGAGAAGAGCTGGAAAGAGATGAAGGAGGAAGAGGGATCCAGAAAACAGCCAAACAGGTACCCACACACACAAACCCATCACTCCAAGCACTGACCAAGTTAGGAGCAGGAGTCACACAAAAGTCCTCTTGTTCACCTGTTCCACACCTTCCAACCAGGCTGAGAGGCCATGGAGGATGCCTGTCAAATTACCACCAGCTCTTGGGCCTCTGAGAAGCCAAACTTGGTCTTGTACTGGTCAAACAGTTGGCGCAGGGCATCCACATAGATTGCGTGGTATTTAGCCACGGTCTTCTGGCTTGGGTTCTCAATCTTGGGCAGTGGTAGAGGCTTCCCAACTGCCAGGGGAGATGGAGAAGTTAAAGGAAAGAGCATCAGAGTGGCTCACTCCTCAGAATTTGCCTCCAGCCCAGGTTCTCCCCCATGCTTCCCCCCACCCTACACACATCCTGGCCAGCCTCCCTGCCTCTGAACACGGCCAGAGCCAAGGTCTAGTATTGGAACCAGATCCTGTGTCCTAGACGTGGCTGCCAGCTGAAGAGCCCACTTACCAATGGTGGTAATAGGCCGAGCATAGGGCAGAAAGCCCAGGGAGTTCTCAGTGAAGCCACGCCCATAGAAAGCACAAGGGTAGATGTGCACCATACTCTGGAGCCACTTTTGGAAGCGATTGATGAAGCCCCCCGGGGTGAAAATGTACTGATTGTAGAGTTCTGTCTCCCCAAAGGAGTAGGCCGGGATTAGAGCCACCCTGAAGAAGAAAAGCATATTCTCTGATGGTTTGAAATGTAGGGCCCCTACCAAAAGTGAGATATGCTGACCACCAGTGCTCCCTAGGTCTCCTTGTAAGTTCTTTCAGCCCTTAACCCAGCTGGGCCCAGGTCCAAGCTAAGTGGAATCAATGCGTGGTCTACCCCAGGCTGCCTGCAAGCTAAGGGAAGCAAGTCCCATTGTGTGTGTGTTAGTCGCTCTGTCATGTCCAACTCTTTGTGATCCCACGGACTGTAGCCTGCCGGGCTTCTCTGTCCATGGGATTCTCCAGGCAAGAATACCGGAATGGGTTGCCATTCCCTTCTCCAGGGGATCTTCCTGACCCAGGGATCGAACATAGGTCTCCCGTATCATAGGCAGATTCCTTACCATCTGAGCCACCAGGGAAGCCCCAGTGAGTCCCAGACCCTCCTGTAAACCCACATTGTCTGAGACACTGGAAGCTAGGAGCCAAGGGCCATTTCTTCTTGGTTTCTTCCCTTTCACCCACATGGGAATTTTGGCTTTCTCTGACATACAGTTGCAGCCAGTCACCTTTTTATAGAGAGACTGGTCCAGATGAGATGCTAGTCTGAGGCAGATCAGGTTCCAGACTGGCCTGCTGGCCTTTCTTCAGAAGCAAAAATGCCTCTAGAACCTGACCCAGCCTCTACTCCACCACAGAAGTGGTTTTACCCCTCCCTCTTTAAATATCATTTCCTCAAAACCTCTTCCTCCTTCCCTGCTGGGCTTTTGGATCCCATTTCCCCAGTCTGGACCAGAAGTGTCCTTACCCATGCCGAAGGGCTGTGCGTACGAAGCCAGTGCGGCTCTTCAGGAACAAAGTGGTAGATCCAGGCAAGCCATATTTGCACTCAGCCAGACCACCAACCACCACCATCAGCATGTTGCCTGTGCCTCTACGGGTAAGCAGGAAGTCCATGGAGGATTGGCTTACAGAGCAGACCCCTGGTGGTCAGGAAAAACCAAAAGATCATTGGTGACCTACTAAGCCTCCTAAATTTCCTCCCTACTTCTAAGGTGGGGAGAACCCTCCTTGGGGAAGGGCTCTCTTAGGCAGCTGAGCCTAAGGTAGCTTTTCAGACCAGAGGGGATCACAGAGCCGGCCTTGTTCTCACCTATTCACCCAATACTTCTTTCTCAGGCAGCCATGTATTTCTTCAGCTTTCCATCCCAGGAGCCAACTCACCTACAGACATGACATATTCTCTGAGGAAAGGCACCCAGAAAAAGGCCCCCAGTGTGAGGATATAAGGAGTCATGCCAGGAAACGTCTTGGAGAAGCCTGACATCTCTGTGGCAAAGTGGCCAAACCATGAATGGGACATGATCCCATGAGGGTGGCAGGCGACGATGTAGTTGAGGCTGGGGGAGAGATCATGAGTCTTCAGAAGCTGTGGAGGAAACTGGAGTCAAGAGAGATATAGCCAAGGAAGAGTTCCTCTCTTTCGGCCAGAGACCTAGAAAGGAAAGGGCTGCCATGTCTGGCTGTGCAGATGGGGTAACACACAACTCTGGGGAGCTTCATTCACATGGGCCTCAATGTGAATGATGCCCCTGCCCCCTGCCCTGACCCAGCTGCTGCCACAGGGAGTCAGGACCAGGCCTGGGGCCCAAGTGGGGATCTGGGACTCCTCACCTTGAGTGGGAAGTAATCACAGTACTGTTTCCACAGGCACCATTGCCTCACGCAGGTAAACCGGCGGCCACCTGAAAACAAAGCTGATACAGCTGAGCTTTGTCCACCCTGTTGTTTTCTTCAGAGTCCTTTAGGGCCTGTCTCGGGGTGCCCTCACCCCTTACTGTTTCCTGCCCCCTTAGTGACAACCAGGCTGGGAATGAACTTCAGGGCCTGTTTGGGACAGCCCTAGCTCTCTGCTGTACTAGCCACCCCTCCCCTAGCCCACTCCAGTTCCCACCTGGGCCTCACTAGCATCTTGAAAAGACCCCTTCCCTCACCTTCAGCCCAGACAAGGTCAGGCTGAAGGGCTGCCAGGGAATTGGCTGGAGTATAAGGAGAGAAAGAAAGAGCATGTGGCGAGTGGCAACAGCCCTTCCAGGGCCCTCACCTCTCTCAGGGGTCTTCCAGTCAAAAGCCAGCCAGGTGAGGATGAGCACAGTAATGGGCCAGTACGGCGTGAACACCACCAGGTAGAGGTTGACAGCGATCACGGTGATTACTGGAGGGAGCCCAGGCCAGAGTCAATGAATTGCAAACAGTGCCTCACACTTGCCCTCCCTCTGGGGCTATGTCTACCCCAAGGTCACAAGCACTCTCAGCCGGGCTCACATGACCCTCTTACCTCCTCACCCCAGCACATTGCCTACGTGCCCAGAGCCCCAGCATCTGCTCTAGCCTTGGGAACTTGTTTTGAGTCTAGGAGACAAGGTGTTTCACCTGCCCGCCCCCCCCCACCGTGCTCCATGCAGTCAGCCCTCTCCCCCCAGGGCCTGCACCAGCAGCACTCTGGGCTGCAGTCAATGGCAAGGAGCCAGTGGTGGCTCACATTGATCTGGCCACCAGAATTTAGGAGTCCTGGAGAGACAGAGCCAGGAACAGTCTTCCTCCAAATCTCCATATCATCTCTGAGAAGGTGAACAGAATGCCAGAGAAAGAGGATGATAACTAACCTTCAGCCAGGTTGGGAGCATGCAAGTTGGCATGTACCAGAATATGGTATGGACCATGCTGAGCTCGAACAAGATAGGAACAATGTAGGTTAGAGTAGTTAGGACAGATTTCATGGAGATGAGTCACAGGGAGCCATGCTCAGGATTCTTACTGGACTCATATTTTTTTAATAACTGTGAATAAGACAGGTAGAGAAAGGGGGTCAAAAGAAAGGTTAGAAAAGACATGAAACACTCCTAATTGAACATGGCAGAATGAACACAAGTTTTATCATGACTCCTTGCTGCAGCCTCATGAAAATTATCACAAGGATGTTTTAAAAGATAGAGATTCTGCAAGGAAAAAGAGAATCAGAGAGATGCCAAAGGTGACTGAAAGCTATCAGCAAAATGTTTGCGTGCTGGACAGTGGGCAGAGGAGGGATTAACTGACTGAGAACAAGAAAGTTGAAATGTAGTGACTTGCAAGCGGGAGTGTCTACAAGAGTAAGCCTGTTTCCACTGGAGAATCTAGGAAAGACTCAGAATTTGGAAACACCAAGTGTTACAAAAAGCAGATGTAACAGGGCTTGATGGAAAGTCTATCAAAGGAGTAGTTAAAACCCGAGACCTCTTCTCCTTCACTGTATAGCTGGGCAATGGGAGGATTATTCTCTGAAATAAAATGAACCAAAGAGACTCTAGACTCAGATACTTACACTAGACACAGATAGGATATTCTATATGCAGCCAAATTTTTAATCAAGTATGAAGAGAGAATAAAGACAATTTCAGACATATAGTCAGAGAGTTTGTTTCCTACATCCCTTTCTCAGGAAACTACTGGAGGATGTGCTCCATGAAAATGAGGGAGTAAAGCAAGACAGAGGATAGCATGGGAGCCAGGTAAAAAGAAATCCAGCACAGGAAGGAAGTGAGCAGGGCCAGGAATAGAGTGAGGAGAGCGTGGCACCTAGGGCACAAAATTCAAGGAGACATTCACTCTTGGAGTCAGGCAAATACTGACCCAACACTTGCACAGTGCTGAGAATGAACACCTTCTTAGATTGTGCACCCAGGGCGCCTCACCGGCCCTGGAGGTGACAGTGGTGCATGAGACCGGACTTTAATAGGAGACTGCTGGGCTCCACCAGCGAGGTCCTCAAGGAAATAAAAAATGGTGGTGGTGAAGGAGAGGAGATGTGTAGATTCCTGACGTGTTTGTGGCGAGTTTGGGGATGAATTATTGATAACTGATAGATAACTAAGAGATAACTAAAATTTAAAATGAGGCAATTAACCCAATCAAAAAATGTGCAGGATATCTAGACATTTCTCCAAAGAAGACATACAGATGGCCAAAAAACACATGAAAAGATGTTTAATATCACTAATTATTAGAGAAATATGAATCAAAACTACAGTGAAGTATCATCTCACACCAGTCAGAATGGCCATCATCAAAAAATCTATGAACAATAAATGCTAGAAAGGATGTGGAGAAAAAGGAACCCTTTTGCACTGTTGGTGGGAAAGTAAATTGGTGCAACCACTATGGAGAATAGTATGGAGGCTCCTTAAAAAACTAAAAATAGAACTGTCATATGATCCAGCAATCCTACTCCTGGGCATACATCTGAAGAAACACATGATCTGAAAGGTTACATGCACCTCAGTGTTCATTGCAGCACTGTTTACAATAGGCAAGACATGGAAGCAACCTAAATGTCCATTGACAGAGGAATGGAGAACAACAGTGTGGTACATGTATAGAATGGAATATTACTGAGTCATAAAAAGAATGAAATGATACCATTTGTAACAACATGGAAGGACCTAGAGATTATCATACTAAGTGAAGTCACGCAAAGACAAATACCATATGACATCACTCATATGCAAAACCTAAGTTTTAAAAACTGATATAAATCAATTTATTTACAAGGCAGACTCACAGATTTCAAAAACAAACTTGTGGTGATCAAAGGAGAAATATGGATGAGCGGAATGGATAGATTAGGACCTTGGGATTAATATATACACTACTATATATAAAATAGATAACCAACAAGGATCTACTGAATACCACATGGAACTCTACTCAATATTCTGTAATAGCCTATATGTGCAAATGAATCTGAAAAAGAATGAATATATGTATATGTATAACTGAATCACTTTGCTGTACACCTGAAACTAAACATAGTAAATCATCTATACTCCAACAAACTTTTTAAATAAAAAATAAAGCATGGCTGATTCATGTCAATGTATGACAAAACCACTACAATATTGTAAAGTAATTAGCCTCCAACTAATAAAAATAAATGAAAAAAAAATAAAATTAAAAAAAGTGTTCTAAAGAAATGGGAAAAAAATAAAGGTAAAAAAAATAAAATGAAGCAATTATGAATTCCAGAGAAAACAAGAAGTTGCACAAGAAAGGAAATATAATCATAGTGCACTAAATAGCTCAACTATGGAGAAGATTTACTAGTCATAGTTTGGGGTTTAAGTAAAACAACCTGGGTGGGGGAAAAGGCATATATTGAGCTGAAATCTAATGTTCCATATTAGGAAGTCAGTGATATTGTCTAAAATTGCTACATTGGAAAATAGTAATATTTAGAAATTTTAAATAGTAAAGTTTAGACATATGGAGGTAAATACCAGAAAAAAAGAGCTAACAAATTTGAGAATAGCTGCCTCTAGGGAACATATCTAAGTGTGGAGCAAAGGCCAGCAGTTTCAGGTTTTGATGTGCTTCTTACAAAACTACTTGACTTTCTTAAGAAATAAAGAGAGGCATGGGTCTAGTCCAGAAGAGATTTGTTTCTTTTAGGCTTTGCTTGAACCCAGACAGTGTTGGGGATATCTTGGGAGGCAGTGCAGCTTCAGGTGGTGACACGAATCCTGCCCCTTACATGAGTATGACCACAAACAAGACTTTGAGCTTCACACTGGCCAAGTGGGGCTAGCAACACCAGCTTCCACCTTATCTTCCTCACAGACTTCGTGTGATGGTCTTGTCTCAAGGCCATCAGGGTCCAAATGGATATGATTCCATTGCATATTTCATCTGGGAAAGCTTCGAGTGACAAGCACTGGAACCATCACCTCCCAGGAGCCCAGACACAACACTCTTCTATCTGTCCCAGGCTAACTCTCCATATAGCCCAAAGTCAAGCTCTAATTAAGAGCCCTCTGGGAAACTTCTCTCTGTCTTCACCCTGCTTTCACCCACTCTCCTCCTCCTCTGCTTCACCTGCTCCTTCTCTAGCTCACACGGATCCCTGAACCCTCAGTCTCGCCTCCTCCCTTTCTCTCTCCCACATCTTTTGATCATCAAGTCCTATGAACTTTACTCCAATATATTGAATCCCTCTTCTCCCCTTCACAATTACGACTGGTCTGGGCCAAATCACCACAATCTCTGACCTGAATTAGAGTGACAGTCTCTTCCTATAATCAGTTTGGTGCCCAAAGCTGTAATGATCTCTCAAAACCACCAATCTGATGCCGTTGCCCTGTGTCCAACCCAGTCCTGGCTCCCATGGCCTTCAGGAAGAAGTTCAAACAATTCCATGATTGACAAACCCTGCACAATCTGTCCCCCGCCTCTTATGCCAGTTTCCTCTGTCTTCCCTCTCCCTCTCTTTCATCCTTTCATTCAATATATATTAAGCATCAGTTCTGCGGCTCTTACCCCCTCATCCTACTTAACCACGGGCAGCTTCTTGAATGCTTTACACTCTCCCCTCATCTCAGTTATTGCCCACTCTCTGCCCTGAACACTCTTCCTTCTTCATCTATCTCTTACATGTCCTCTAAGAGTCAACTCAAATTTAATATAAAAATGGACAAAAGTCATGAATGAGCCGTTAACAGAGAAACAGATGCTAATTGCTAATAAATACATAAGAATGCTTTATAATTAACAAAGTTGAAAATAAGGCTCATTGTTATTTACACCTGTCACTCTGGTGGTGGCAGAAAGGAGTGTGCACGAGGCCTGTTCCCTTTCCTGCTCACTCAGTGGTCATCTCTGAAGCCACATTTTTCAGCATCACAGTTTTGACATGTCTCCATCAGCCTGAACATTTGTATCCACAGAGAGCAGAGACTCCCACCAACCTGTGTTTGGTGTTTAACATAAACAGGAAATAATCATTTGTTGAGTTAAGCCACTGAGATTTCCACATTAGCTGGTTACCATAGCATACATGGGCCAGTCCAATTATTCCACTCTCACATGCTCATTTTACAAATGAAGAAAATAAGACTCAGAGAGGATCGATAAACTGCTCAAGGAGTACAGATGGTAAGGAGTAGAGCTGTGTTTCAAAAACAGGCAGTCTGACTCAGAGACTAAGTTTTTCACATCCTTGTTTTTTTGCCTCTTGGCTATATGTGTGTGTGTACAGGCATAATGATGGTGGTGGTTTAATCACTAAGTCGTGTCTGACTTGCAATCCCATGGACTGTAGCCTACCAGGCTCCTTTGTTCATGGGATTTCCCAGGCAAGAACAGTGGAGTGGGTTGCCGTTTCCTTCTCCAGGGTATCTTCCTGACCTATGGATCGAACCCAAGTCTCCTGCATTGCAGGCAGTCTCCTGCCTTTCAGGTGGATTCTTTACAGACTGAGCCAGCAGGAAAGCCTTATATATATATACACACACATATATACACACACACACACATATACACACACACACACATATATATGTACACACACATATGTATATCCATAATTTCTGGCTGTGTGCTTAGTCACTCAGCATTGTCTGACTCTTTGCGACCCCATGGACTGAAGCCCAGTAGGCTCCTCTGTTTATGGGGATTCTCCAGGCAAGAATACCGGAATGGGTTGCCATGCCCTCCTCCAGGGAATATTCCCAACCCAAGGATTGAATCCAGGTCTCCTGCACTGCAGGTGAATTCTTTAGAAACTGAACCATCAGGGAAGCCCCAATTTCTGGCTACATACACACAAACTGTTAACAGTGGTTACCTCTAAGGAGTAACATCCTGGACTAGACTGAGAAAGGGGAGATACCAGCCTAGAGGTTCCATCCCCTAGCCTGGCCTGGGCTGTCCATACTAGTCATACTTCTTCCCCTAATATAGTGTCAGCTCCTAGGCCATGGGAACATGGTGGCAGTGAGGGGAGGGGGTGGTAACGAGGCAAGTCTGTGGAGATAGGACAAGAACTCAAGAAAGGGGACTCAGCCCTCCCTGAGGAAAGGGCCCCAAGGACTGCGTCACATGGAAGGAGATTGAGAGGCCCAGCTGGGGCCCTGGTCCTCAATAAGAGGTCATTTGGAGCAGACTTTTCTCCACTTTCAGTCAGGAATTTGTACACACACTGAAGGCCTAGCTTCCTCCTTCCTCTCTGGCCTAACATGTACACTACAGCCATGTCCATATCCAGCCTCCAAATCAGCAGTAAATAAGGAGATGCAGGCGGTAGGGACAGGAGCTTATAGGCCAGAATCAGGCCCTTGTGGACTCAGGCACAAGCCAGCTCCTCCATTTTCTAGCTGTCCGATCTTGGATGAACCATTCAGATGGCATGTACCTCAGCTCCTTCATCTGTACCATGGAGATGATTAGCCACGTTAGGTGCTTAGAACAGTGCCTGGTGTGGGGTTAGAAAGCGCAATCTTTGTGTGTGTGTGTAGCTATTAGTGTGTATTATTATGCACAATAATAGCTTCTGCCTTATAAGGCTGGCAGGAGGCTAAAATGAAACCACAGGTATGAAAATGCCTGGCAGTAAGTAAATAGCTGGTACATATGAATTCCTTTCTCCTGGCCTCTTCTAGCTCCGATTGCCCATCATTCCTAGGTTAACACTGCTTTTTTTTTTTCTGTTAGCATTCAGGGGTCCTGGTACTCACCCCAGGCAGGCCTCTGAGCCCCCCAGTCTCTGTTCTTTAGCCCACTCTCCCTATTGACCAGCAAGACCCAAGCTCCCAAGGCCCACCTGCATTCTTCCTTCTCAGATATCTTCCAAGTAGGGGCATTTAGTTCATCCCCTTGCTTCCAGCCAGTACTCACCTAAACCACCTAAAAATGAGAATTTTGTTCCAGACCCCCTTTCCATAGGGATGGTTTGCATCAGCACCTATAGCACCATGGCCAGCAACTAAGTAACTTTCATAAAGAATTTGTAGGGTGGGTAGAGTGAAAAATGAATGGATAAATGGATGAATTCTTTCAAACAAGAGATTTTCAGAGCTCCCTCTGCCACCAAGACAACTGTCTTGCTCCAATGGTCTGCTCAGGTCCCTGAGGTCATAGCTAAGCCCATTTCCTTGGCAGGCCTCAGTGGAACTGCTCCCCATCTTTCCCAAACATGCCTTCCAGGACCCAATGATGACCCAGGAGGGCTCACCACACACAACAGCCACAAGTGTGGCTCACACACACCTGCACACACATTCCTGCACAAGCCTGCACCCACACCCACATGCACACTCGCAGATCCCACAAGGACTGTGTCCAAGCATGTCAAGCTGGAGGCCGGGGTGGACAACTGTCCTTATTCACCTGAGACAACCCTGGTTTCAGCATCCAGGGTCCCGCTAAAACCTATAACCTCTCAGTCCCAGGCAAACCAGGACATCTGGTCACCTTGCCAAAGGCTAAGACTCACCGATAACAAAGGCACTAAGGGCCCACTGGAAAATAGCAAAGACCTCCAGGGAGATCTTGAGGTCCTTCTTGGAGGGCAAAACCATTATGCCCAGCGTCCCTGTGACTCCAGGTAAGTGCTGTTCGGCTGTCCAGCCCGGATTGCTCAGGGACCAGTGGTGTTTCCTCCCTTTGTGCTTTATTTTTCAGTCCCTGCCTAGTCTCCACCCCCTACCCCCACCACAGGACCAAAAGACATCAAGCTGCCTCTGCTTGTCCAGTTCCTTCCAGCCATCTACCCACCTGTACTTTTACCCACTTGGGCAAGGCCCGGGCTGAGATTGTGACACCTTCTTGCACACCTGTGTAGAGAAGTGTAGATGGAGCTCAGGTGTGGGAAGTGAGTGGAGGTGGGGGTGGGGCTGCTGAGAGGCCTCCAGGGCCAATGTGGATTGGTGAGAGGGGTCAGGGAGGAATGCAAGGCACACGTGGCACCTGTAGCCTGCATTTCTGTTTGTGAGGCCCAGAGGTTTATGGTCTCTCAGTGACAATGTGATTGTTGGGGAGGAGGTCACAGGTCACAGCTAGAAATATCTTTGGCCTTTTGCTCGGTCCAGGAGCATCCATTACTCCCCATGAACAGACATCAGATGTGTATCTCTGAACTTACAGTGGGGGCTGAATAAATTTTCTATTAGATGAATAAACAAATGTGAGTACATATATCACATTGTTTTGTGTTCATGAAATTCTAGAACAGGCAAAACTGATCTATGATGAAAAAATTAGTGGCTGCTTCTGCTAGGAGATTGACCAGGAAGGGCATAAAGGACATTTTGGGAGAGATTGACCAGAGAGGGGCATAAAGGAGATTTTGGGAGTGACAACAATATTCTCTTTTGAAAATTTTTTTTAAATTTATTTTGGGCTGCACTGTGTTTTTGTTGCTGTGCATGGGCTTTCCCTAGTTGCTGAGGGTGGGGGTTACTCTCTATTTTCTGTGTTCAGGCTTAAACTCACTGCAGTGGTTTCTCTTGTCGCAAAACATAGGCTCTAGGGTGCAAGGGATTCCATAGTTGTGGCTTGAGGACTCAATTGCCCTGCAGCATGTGGAATCTTCCTGGACCAGGAATCAAACCCATGTCCCCTGCATTGGCAGGTAGACTCTCAACCACCGGACCACCGGGGACATCCAATATTCTGTCTTGATAGAGCTTTGAGTTACCCAGGTAAAAAACTCATTTGTCAAATAATACAAATGAATGTATTTGCAAAACAGAAATAGATCCACAGACAGAAAATAAACCTATGCTTAGCAAAAGAGAAAGGTGAGGGAGGGATAAATTAGGAGTTTGGGATTAACAGATACACACTACTATATTCAAAATAACTAACAAGGACCTATTTATAGCACAGGAACTCTACTCAGTATTCTCTAATAACCTATTTGTGAAATTGAATATATATGCATATAACTGAGTCACCATGTTGTACACCTGAAACTAACACAATATTGTAAATAAACTATACTTCCATTTCTCTTTCCATAAAAGAGAAAAAAACTCATTTGTCAAAACTCAGCAAATGTACAATTAAGACTTGTGCATTTCTCTGTAGGTTAAGCTGACTCCTTAGTGGCTCAGTGGTAAAGAGTCCTCCTGCAATGCAGGAGACTCGGGTTCAATCCCTGGGACAGGAAGATCCCCTGGAGAAGGGATTGGACCCACTTCAGTATTCTTGCCTGGAGAATTCCATGGACAGAGAGGAGACTGGTGGGCTACAGTCAATGGGGTCTCATAGAGTCGGACACGACTGAGCAACTAACATATTTCTCTGTGTGTTGCAAATTTTACCTAAAAGTAAACAAATACTGAACTGTCTTTAATGCTGATATGTTTAAGGATGAGGAGAACTGATGGCTGCAATGTATTTTGAAATGCATATAGGAGGTATTGACAGCTAGATAAAGGGATATATTGATGGACAGATGTGTGAGAAATTGAACATAGCAAAATATTATCTATACAGTCTAGGTAGCTGGTGTTTGCTCTACAAATCTTTCAACCATTCTGTAGGCTTAAAAATTTTTATAATAAAAGTTTGCCAAAAATTTTTCCCTCAAGGCCACAATGAAAAAATAAAATTTAAAAATATAATTTCTCCAGGCATGGCATATGTGCATGTGGCCTTTGTGTGTGTGTTGTATGTACAAAGTTAAATATTTGTCTAGTTGTTAATACATGTTTATATATCCATTTCACTAGGTGTCATCTCCAATATATGTTTGTATGCTGTGGGGATGTATAAATGTGAAAACAACTAAGTCCATCCAGGTGTGTGCTGCGGACGAAGTCAATGCACGTGTGAAAGACTGAAGGGGTTTCTTAATGCAACACATAATTACTGAAGACAGAGTATATGCCAGGGATTGCTCTGGACAGCTGGGTTATATCAGTGAGCAAAACAAATTTATAAAAAAAAAGTCAAGCTTTCATGAAGTTTACACTCTGATAGGGGAAGACAGATAATAGAAATGTGATCTGGCTGTGAGCATTGTCAAGTGATAAGTGCTATGGGAAAATTAATTGAACAGAGTAAGAAGGAGCCAGAGTACAGGAAGCAGGGAGGGGTTAGGTGGGGAGATCAGGCTCTACAGTTTTAAAAGGATTGGTCAGGGACGGCCGTACCAAGAAGGTGGCATCTGAGCGAAGACTTGAAGGAGATGAGGAAGCAAGCAATGCTCCTGTCTGGACTGAAAATGTTCCAGGCAGAGGTCACAGCCAGATCACAGACCCTAAGTGGGATATGCCTGTCCGATGCAGAGGAGCAGAAACCTTGAGCTGAGTGAAAGGAGCTGAGGAGGTGAAGTCAGAGAACTTAGCAGGGGCACAGGGTGTAAGGCCTTGACCTTCTACTCTGACTGAAATAGGAGTCAGTGTGTGGTTTTGAGCAGAAAGGGGAAAGGATTGCCTTGTGGTCAAGAAAGAGAAAGGACCCTTTTGAGGGACTGTAGCAATAATCCATGCAGAGATGATGATGGGTCAGATTGGCAGGAGTCAGGATGGTGGGAAACAGTCAGATTCTGGGTGTTTCCTCTGAAGCAGAGGCCCCATGCGAGCACTCTCCCCACTGAGGCTCAGAAGCCTCTACATGGGAGCACCATTGGTGAGCAGCCACCATGGGCTCAGCCTTGGCATGTAAACCTTCCCTGCATTCAACTTCATCTCATCCAGTCCTGCAGGAAACGTGTGGAAGGTGTTGGATGCCACTCACCTGCTTGACTGAAATGGTGGTGAAGGGACTTCTGGAAAGGGAAGCTGAAAAGGGCAGCAGAGCCAATCTCCAAAAGAGTTAGGACACAGGGATGAGGAGCTTGGGCTTAATACTGAGGGCCTTGAGGAGGTGCCGTCAGTTTCTGAGCAGGGATGGTAACTTGTGCCAAATGCCACAGAAGGACAACTGTCAGGCCCAGGGTGACTGTCAGGGCCCAAAGACCTAGGTGCCCCCATGATTGACACACAGGATCCCCTCCCCGCTTCCTCTCTAATACCTTCTTGCAGGACCAGTTCCAAAGCCACATTATCTAAGCAGATGGGCTCATGGGGACTTTCCCCAGCACTGAAAAGCCTGCTGGCCTGGATCTTTCACCTCATTAGACTGACTTCGTTGTTTGGGGTAAGGATGGTGCCTTATTCAGGTTCCTGTGAGGGAAACTTTCTGAGGCTATTCCTCATCGGGGAGCAAAGTTCCATAAACACTGAACACCGGTGAGAGGCAAGGGACAGAGACAGCTTTGGAAGAAAAGAGACAGTCATGCTAGAAGTTTAGGATTAATATATACACACTACTATGTATAAAACAGATAACCAACAAGGACCTGCACAGGGAACGCTGCTTAATATCTTGCAAAAACTTACAATGGAAAAGATTCTGGAAATATATATATATATAATAATATATATGTATTATATATGGGCTTCCCCAGTGGCTCAATGGTAAAGAACCCACCTGCCAATGCAGGAGAGATAAGTTTGATCCCTGGATCAAGAAGATTCCCTTGAGGAGAGCATGGCAACCCTCTCCAGTATTCTTGCCTGGAGAATCCCCATGGAGAGAGGAGCCTGGTGGGCTACAGTCCATACTATCATAAAGAGTTGGACACGACTGAAGTGATTGAGCATGCACGCATGCATTATATATATAGATAACTGAATCACTTTGCCGTATACCTGAAGCTAACACAGCATTGTAAACCAACTATATTTTGATAACAATTTTAAAATTTTCAATTAAAAAAAAAAAACCAGTCCTGCCTGGGTGTCTGCTATGGAGGGGGTAGGCGACAGGAACCACTGACTCAGTCTCTGGGTGGATAACAGGGAAGGAAACACAAGAGGATGAGCACTTCTTGCAAGGCTGATAGAGCAAATTAGAAGCTTGGTTGGGGCCACCTCTTGTGAGAGGGACCTGAGGGGCAAGCAGGCCCTGCAATGGCACGTGAAGCTAGTTGCTGGTTTCTAGAGTGTGTTCTGCTGACCCTGGGCTTCCAGCAACCTGCTGTGGGAGCAACTGCAGTGAGGGGCTGAGCAAATGGCTCTGGACTTGCCAACTCCCACTTGAAACAGAGCAACAGCTCTCTTTTAATCTCCATCCATTGGCATCCCATGAGAGATTCTATGGGACAAAAGGATGGGATGGGATGGGGAAGGGGAAGCCTTGCAAGGCCCTGGGAAGCAAAGCGGAGAAAGGATCTGCAGTTCCCTGACCAGGAGAAGCTGCCTCTGCCTGGCCAAGGGGGACTGAAGGCCAAATGTACAGAGTCCAGGGACACTTCCAGGGGGCAGAGCTAAGGCAGGAAGTGGAGACTGTGGCTAGTCTGAAAAAAGATGACATGCTGCCTGCCATAGAGGAAGAATGTGTGGCCTCTGAGTGGTCACGGTCTCCACAGAGCCAGCCCTGAAGGGGGCTTCCTCATTCATACTCAGTCCAGACTTGAGGACTTGAGTTTTGTTATTCCCGCCTCTTCGTGCATCTGTCCATCCAAAGACCCTGACTCCTCCACCTCCCACCTTGGTCAGGAGCTCTCAGGGGCAGAAAATGGATGGTA